ACTTTTGCTATACGAAAACTTGAGCTTTAGGTAGTCATGTCTATCAGTTTTTCCGTTTGTGCTTCCTGAGTTTTCTATCATACATCCCAAGAATATAAAAATGTTGACCCAGGGGCCATTCTTGTGGCATAGTGGTTAAGTTCCTGTGCTCCACTTCGGTGGCCCAGGGTTCACAGGTTCAGATCCCAGGTTCAGACCCGGCACTGCTTGTCAGGCCACACTGTGGCGGCATCCCACACAAAACGGAGAAAGATTGGCACATGTGTCAGCTCAGGGCTAATCTTCCTCACACACACTCAAAAAAAGTTGACCTATTTTGTCTTCAGTAATTCTTAATATTTCTTTTATTTTTTATATTTTAGAATTTTCTAGACTACTCTAGAATTTATTTTACTGAAATATACCTAAAATTTTTTTCATTTCTAAGTGCCAGTTGTCCACAAATCATTTGTTGAGCTTTCCTCATTAATACTAAATAATCTTAAATTTCAAACAAATGAAAGCTTATTATATGTTAATTTCTGGACTAACTTTTCCGTTGATGTGATTTCTTATTCCTGTACCATACTGCTGCCACTATTATAGGTTTATGATACATTTTATGAACCAGGTGGACACATCTCCTCTGCTGGCCTTTGTCTTGTCCTTTCTTTTCTTAAAGTCAGTTTGGATTTTTAATGTGATTGCATTTAATTTATAAAATAATTTAGATGAAAATTATATTTTAAAAACATCCATGTATCCAATAACAGAATAGTCTTTTTATTTATTTGAGTTTTATTTTAGGGCATAAGTAGAATTTTGAAAACTGCTATTTTCTTCATACAAGTCATTCCATTTCTTACTAAATCTGTATGAAGAACAGAGAAGGGTCTGAGATTTTATCCTCTGCAAGCAAACAAGTTAGCCTGTCACCCTGTCATGGATGCTGGCAGAAAAGGGATGATCCTAGGGCAGAGGCACAGCAGGTGGTGTAGACTTCGTGTTCCCATCTGCTTCCTTTGTCCAGGTTTTATAGTGGAGGCTGCACATGCAGTAGTCACAGCTGAGGAACTCTAAGCTTGGGAAATCCTAACGAGAGCTCAGGGCAAGCTTCTTGAGCTAACTGATGAAGAATGAGAGGAATAAACAGAGGGGGTTTATGCAAAGGCCCCGTGGTGGGAGGAAGTGTGGCAACTATAAATACCTGAAAAAAAGGCCACCACGGTAATTCCGTTATCTTCTGGCTAATGGTGCTGAAGAGAACTAGCTTGCTTATTTTTCCTACTGTAAATGATCTATTTGTTCTGCCCAAATGCTTATAAATTTTTTTCCCTTTGCCTTTGTGTGTATTATTTTCATTAGGATTTGTTGTTGTTCATTCTTAATGAAATTTTTTTAAGACACAGAGAGCCTCTTCATTCTTGTTGATGGCCTCTTAGTATATCTTTGAGTATTTTCCTTGTCTATCAACTTTGACTTTTTCTTTAATTATTTGATAAATTGTCCCTGTCTATCTTCTATAGTTATGTTCTCCCTAAAAACATTCTGTCTCTCTTGTTTCCACTGCATTCCGAGATGGAGACCCTTCCTTGTTTTCAGTATTGATCTTTGCTATTTTCACTTTCTTTTTTTCATGTCTTAGTTTTGGAAAGGGAGATTTTGGGGACTCTGGTCTTTTGTGACTATCTTTTCCAAAGTGTCTGGATCTGTTATTGAAAGAACCATTTTGTACGTACTTTTCCTCAACTCTTTAAAATTATCCCAAAAGAGATTTTGAGACTCCCTTGTGGTTAAAATAATCTCTTCAATTTTGAAAAGTGCTCTGTCTCATTACTTAAAATTGTATTTACTTGTGTGTTCAAATTGTAATTATTTGTGGCAAAGGAATTGGGGAACAGCACCTACCTGATTAATGGGTTAAATATGTAATCATTCAGGTGTGATGAATCGAGGAAACTTCCTATCTCCAAGTACCTCTCCGACTGCTCTGGTACAAAAACACTTCATTGTTGCTCCATTAGCGTGAGATTCATTGATCAGATTTAGTTATGTGGGAAGGTCCTTCACACTCCTAAGATGGACGTGCTTCTACAGAAGGCAGTGGAAAGTAGCACAAGTCTTGGCGTTTCCTACCAGTAGGGAGAGGGAATTAGAACAGAAGAATCCAGTTTAAAAGATGACTTCTTTTCCTAGGAATTTTTTTCTGGCATATTGAGAAATTTGGGGATAGTTAAGCGTAATTTTGAGGGATACAAATCCTTCAGATAATGTGCTAATTAATTTGTTACTCTCCCTTTATTGGTCAAAACCTAGTCAACAAGAAGAGTTTCATGAGGGAGTATCTCAGTTAGCAGAGTATCCCAACTCACCAGTGAAGGAATGCAGCCAATTGACCCTCCAAGAGGACTCCCATTTCCATTCCAAGAGATGCAATGTCTTCTCTGATCATGAGTTTTCTCTTGTTGACTTTTGTTGTTGTTGTTGTTGAGGAAGATTGGCCCTGAGCTAACTCCTGTTGCCAATCTTCCTCTTTTTGCTTGAGGAAGATTGTGAGGAAGATTGTTGCTGAGATAACATCTGTCTCAATCTTCCTCTATCTTTTGTATGTGGGATACCACCACAGCATAGCTTGATGAGTGGTGTGTAGCACCACACCCGGGATCTGGGCTGCGAACCCAGGCCGCAGAAGCAGAGCGTGTGAACTTAACCACTAAGCCACCGAGCGGCCCCTTCTTCTTGACTTTTTTTTTCTTTTACAAGGTTAGCCCTGAGCTGACATCTGCTGCCAATCCTCCTGTTTTTGTTGAGGAAGATTGGCTCCGAGCTAACATCTATGCCCATCTTCCTCTGTTTTATATGTGGGATGCCTGCCACAGCATGCCTTGATGAACGGTGCATAGGTCGGTGCCCGGGATCCGAACTGGCCAACCCCAGACCACTGAAGTGGAGTGCATGAACTTAACCGCTGTGCAACCAGGCTAGCCCCCCAACTGCCCCCCCCCACCCCTGCTCTTGTTGACTTTTGATCTTGATGTTAGTGGATATATTGCTGACCCCCTTCCTCACTAGAGGCTAAGTAGAAAGGTAGAGAAACATGTCCTATATTAGGAAAAATTCCTGTTTCCAAAGTCTGTAAAGATAAACTAATAATGAAGAAGCAGAAACTTGACCATGATAGTTCAAAATGGGACTCAGACCAAGTTTCACATAGCAGAAATGTTGTTGAATAAATTTTGGTGGTTTTCCAATGTTTTTGGAAGCGTCTGTTTGGAAAATGACTATTTTGGGTATTTGATGGCACTGTGGAGTACAGACACTAAGTCTAGAAATAGAGTGAGTCTTCCTTTACATGTTGATGGGTTTATCTTTGTTGACCATAATTCCTTGACTCTAAGATGCCTTTGATTATATCACACATCATTATCTCATGTATCACTAAGAAAAGAAAAATGCTCCCTATGGAATTCTGACATCCTTACAATGCTGTAGAGTACATCCTGATTTCAGAGACGTTAATGTGTGAAAAAATACACATCTTAGAATCAGTGAGATATAATATTTTTCTTAAAGTGGCAAAAACAGGGAAAATTGATACCTAACAGCTTGTCAATCTACCTGAAATATTTAACAATGCAGTCAATAAATAAATTTATGCTTTAAAACTCTATTTACTAGGTATGCTATTTCCAAGAACAATCAAGACTATTGATAGAGTACTGTTAATATTCGGAGAATTAATGAAGTGAACTTACATCTATAGAGGATGCCCAAAATTTCCCCTGTCATTATTTTAAGAATTTCCACTATTTGATATTTTCTTTACTGAGCAAACCAATCTGGTCCCTGCTGTGCATCCCAGACCAGGGTGCAGGGACTGCCTCTTCGTCTTTCCCAACTCTTTCTGCAGCCTTTTGAGCAAGAACCTCTCATTTCCACTGTTAGGTACCACTAATCCTCAGAGTTGTATCACCTAACATCACCCCTGAACTAAAGTCTAAAGTTCTGTCCCATTTGTCACATTCATGAACATTCCAGGAAATCCAACCCCTGAACTCATGCTACTGCTACGTTCTCTGGGTTGGGGCTGATCACCCACCTCTTGCTGCAAGATTTAGGCAACTCTACCTGAGAACCTTATTATTAGAATTTTTAATGCTAATAATATTATAGTATGTGGGGGATAGTATAGTATCTGCTTGGGGGAAAGAATTTGTTCATGGTAAACACTTACCCAGAGTCTCACCATCTATGCCATTGGTGGCATTTTAGCACGTTTCCTTCCACTTTTTCACCGGATAAAGTTTTTGCATAGTTGAGATAACTTTTACGTGCAATTTATGTGATGCTTTTTCACTCATCCTCATGTTATTAAAAGAGTATTGTTAAAGGCTTTTAATTAGTTGATTGTTTTATTCTGTAGATATATTAACTATTCCTCTATTGCTTGGTATTTGGATTGTATCCATTTTATTTTTGCAATTCTGAATCAAGATAAATGAACATCTCTGTATGCAAATCTCTGTCCCCATTTTGATGGAGGGACATAATCCACCTTAATACAGTTGATTTGTACTGTTAAATTTCTTTCAATGGAAAAAAGGTCATAATTTATAACCCAACCAAAGGGATAGGAGTAAATATGAGAGAATGGTTGTGTTAAATACTATTATTATATTAGTTCAAAGTTGAATTAACTGGGACACAGATAGATAAAGTTGTCTTGTTGCTGGTGACACTATCAGTTGTGTTTGCAACCGGGAATCTAGTGTCTTCTTCACCCCGCCAGTATCTTCCCCACTTTCACCATAGCCCCATGGAAATTAGCTGTCCTTGAAACTGTACCAGGAGCCCAACAGCACCGTAAAAGCTCGTAGTGGTGCCTGGTTCTCTCGCATTTGGTCTTCTCCTCCAACAAGGGGTCGGTATGGCCAAAGTCACCAAACCAGATCCATGTTTGCCTTGCAAACCAAACAAACACTTCTGTTTTTGTTTTGCTTTGTGTCTGGACTAATTCTTAGCACCTCTTCTGCCTGTGAGCGATTTGTCACTTCCTTCTGTAAGACTGGCACCAGCAGACATGCAGTCTCAGAGGATCCCGGGGAGGAAGCGAGGCCGACCCCCACTTCACTCAACACCTATGAAGATGGCAGTTCATAATCTTTATTCTGCTTCAGCTGGTTCTTTACCAGCAGTGAAGATCCCAAAGAAAAGAGGGCGGAAACCCGGGTACAAGGTACGGCTCCATCATCTCCTTTCTCCAAAGTGGTATTGGGCTGGGGCACGGGTGTTTGGGCAGAACCCCACTGCAAAATGTGATGAAAAGTTGGGAGCTGGGTAAAGACAGGATGAATAAGTTTCTCTCAATGGAGCATGTGATGGCCGAGGCCTCATTATTCTAACATGGCACACAATGCATGCTGTTGCTATCGTGTGCATTTTTACAAGTGGAGAAAGCAAATTACACCAGATGGGGAAAGTTGTAAGGCAAGCAGATTTTAAGGTCATAGCTAAACACACATTATTAAGCCTCGCATCTGAATTAGTGTTTCAGATACTGAGCTTTCCCCTAACTGTGCCTACTAGAGCAGCTCTCGAAGCCACTTTCCAGAACTGATTTGTCATTTATTTCAGTAGAAGCAGATGATGTTCCTGAGACATTTAAATTAATAATGTGAGGAGACTACTGTCAAAGTTTTCCCAAACACAGCCCCAACAAGGGGACTCGTCATGAAAATTCAGGGTGTTAATTCATAGTTTCCTGCTTATAAAAGATGCTGACGTCAAGTTTGGCTACAAGGAGGCATATTAGGCAAAATTTAAATCCCATGACCCGTTTAAGAATTAATGATTTGGAGAGGCTGGGGGGTGGAGAGTAAGTTCTCTGATGTAACTGCAATCATATACAGCAACCCGAACCCAGGAGAGAGCTTATCCTCTCAGATGGTTTTGAAGAGGCTACTAGGGAAGAAAGAATCTTGACCTTATTCCGCAAAAGCCTTTCGGTCATTAGAAAATGAGCGACAGAAATTTTCCTTCATTTGTTTTTCTGGAAATAAAGAGCTTATGTTTCCACCTTTAGATCTGAATACTCAAACCAAAATGCAAATTGGCAATTAACTCCCATATATTTAGGAAAATGTGTGGAAATTATTTCAGGTCAGCAGAAAGACAAAGCTTCCGGAAGAATTGGTAATGAATTCAACCTTTATCCCTTTGGTTTTCCACAATTCTTACAACTGCTGGAAAGTAAAAATGGTAGGTGGGGGGGAAAGTGACTCAAAGTTATTTGGGGGTCATTGGTTTGGTAAAAGAAGCTTTTACTCAGCCATCTCCTGAGGTAAAGTCTTCTGTCACTAGTTATTTTTCTGACAAAGAGAGCCTCCTTTTTCTCATGGGCACACCAGCTTCAGAATTGTGTCTCCGAAGCTGGCACAGGGCAGGTCCTCCTGCTCAGCTACCTGTGTAGTTGCCAGGGTCTGGGAATTGCATCTGGAAGGCTGGAGCAGGGCAGCCCTTCTGTTTATAGAGCTAGGGAGCACATCCAGGGTCTGAAGAAACACACTGCAAACTTCGCTCTCCTATTTGGCTTTCTCCTACTCCCCTGGGAGCTGTGACCCAAGAATGAAAATTACCAACAGACACAGCATTTCTGGGGCCAGGAAAAATGGAAATTCACTCCATGGAATGAACTCGACTTTGCAATTTTCCTGTCTCCTCAGAAGGGTGGTTCTCAGTGCTCCTAATACTTGGAGACACCTCAGGGCAGGAAGACAGCCTTGGGGTGGTCAGCTGAGGACACAGGCCCTGCACAAAGCAGGCAGGTCTCATACTCGTGCCCAAAAGGGTTTCTTTTCTGGGGACAACAGGCCACAGCCCTTCCTGAGTCTACTTCCCAAATATTTGGGGAAATGTGTGGGAATTGTTTCAGGCCAGCAGCTTCCAGGTGGCTCCCCAAGTCAGGGGCTTAGCTTCTGAGAAGAATGGCTCCAAACCAGGTGCCAGTCTGCATGACGTTCCGACCCACTCATGATGACACAGGAAAAATAAGAACTGTTTGAAAGTCTTCGCAAAGCTGAAATGATTTCACTTAAAGGATCATCCTTTATTCTGAAATATCTGCTTCCTACTATTTTGGTGTCAAATTTTATTTTATTAAATATCGTCTGTTGTCAGGATTTGGTAATTTAAAAAAATGTCTTTACTTGGCAAAATAAAGTTGGCAACCTGTTAAGTCTCTCCAGTTTTATTTTGACAATTTCTTAGACCCTGAAGCCCCATTTTATCATTAATGAAAGGGTTTTAATTGTGGAGAAGCCAGCAAGGAAAGTGTACGGTTTCATTCCATTTACCAAATGGTCACTAATTTGGCAGTTTTTAACTATCTGGGACGCAGTGGGGGAGCCAGAAGTTGTTAAAAAATCCTGAGCAAGGGAAATAAGATATTACTTGGTCTAGTCTTAAAAGTCTTGTATTTTATGACTAAGAAATGCTTCCAAGCCCTCCTTCAGAGTTTATTTACCTTGATTGTAGATGCATTTCTCACAAGCTCGATTATAGCAGTTTAATAGCCTTAGATTTGAAGGGGAAGACATTTTGGGGAAGAAGAGTGCGCACAGCTGGACACGGAGAGGATAATAATAGTAATTATGATAATTATATGATATATTAATAATACAGAACAATAAAATGCACAGTAATATCAATATTATAAAATAATAAATGACAATATAATTTTATGTCGAAAATGATGTTATTATGATATATTCGTGCTAACGATATTATCATAATAAAATAGTGAGTGCTTGAGCTTTTGGCAGGCTCTTCCCCAGGAGATTCTGAGTCTCCTGGCCTTGCTGACTGTATCACAGGTCTATGCTGGTTGACATTTGTCACTTCTGACTGCTGCTGTCCCAAGCTGCTCTGTCAGTCATCCCTGTGCCCCTGCATACGTCGAAACTCTCTGGTCCAAGTAGGAGCACAAACCTCTCCCTTAAAGACCCAAGCACGACAAGCACAGGCTGTGACGTTTAACCCCTTCTCTGAGGCTTGAGAATAACAGAGTGAACTACAGGCAGAAGAGTGCCAGTCAGATGTCAGTGCTCCAGAGGTCATAGGTCATGCCTCTTCCCAGGGTCCACCTGGCCATCTCTCTCTCGGCCCAGGCCTGCAGCTGGGGCCTGCTCACTCCTGTGAGATTTTTTATGGCCTTACTGCCCCCTTCTCGCCCCAGTCAAAGGAAGCCAAAACCTCTTAACATCCTATTTTCTCTGAAGAGCTGTGCTCTGGCTGCCATGAAAACAGCCTTCTTCATTATCAAACAGAACACTTACATCTCAGTTTGAAGCATCGGCTATTGGTTTACGTCCTTAGTTCAGAGGTCAACAGGTAGATTTTCCTTACATTTCATGGCTAAAAAGACCATCGAAGTCTTTTTTTTTGTTTTAAAGATTGGCCCTGCACTAACATCTGTTGCCAATGTGTTTTTTTCCTTCTCCCCGAAGTCCCCCAGTACATAGTTGTATATTCTAGTTGTAGGTCCTTCTGGTTCTGCTATGTGGGATGCCACCTCAGCATGGCCTGATGAGCAGTGCTGGGTCCACATCCAGGATCCAAACCAGCAAAACCCTGGGCCCCCAAAGCAGGGTGCATGAACTCAACCACTCAGCCATGGGGCCGGCCCCCATTGTGATCTTTTTAAAGCAATAAAGAGAAAGGGTCTACACCAAGGAGAAATGCTGCCTTCCATTCTGTAGACTCAGCTGATTATAATGTCTTCAAATAGTGGGATTTCCAGCTTCTGTGTCTTTATGATTTAAGCAGGAAGAATAAAGTGTTGGGTTTTTAAAAATAGTCATTTGTCCGTAATACTAATAATTAATCCTAATAGCAGTAATAGTCATGCACAGCATTTATTCAGCATTTCTACATTTGAGGCTCTGGGCCTAAGCACTTTATGTTTATTTTCTTATCTGATCCTTGATAGTTTGATAGTGATGGCAGCCAGGGAAATTGCAGGCATTAGGCATGAATTGACTAAGCCCCACAGCCTGAGGCCGCTTACTGTCAGGCCAGCAGCCCTGTACACCTCAGCAATCTCTTAGCATTATTGTTCAGAATAGTAATCATACTTCCTGATTCAAAAAAGAGTAAATTATATTCTCTCTGCTCCATTTAATGAGCTAAGAAAAGTGTAACATATTCTAGAAAGAATATCATCCCTGAAATATTAAAAACAAATGGTTAAAATTTTCTAAAATGTTGGTCATTGTATCATTCAGGATACAAATTCAGCTGCTATAACAAAGCCCACGTCACAGTGGCTTAAAGAAGATATAAACTATTTTCTCTCACATGTTCAAGTCTGGAAAGGCCATCTGGGGCTGACACAAGGGCTCCGTGGAGTTGGGGACCCATGTTCCTTCTATATTGTTGCTCTGCCACCTTAACACAAAGTCTCTACCTCATGCTCTAAAATGGAACCTCTGGTTCCCACTATCCCACTAGTCCAGCCAGCAGAATGGGGACAGAGGTAGTGGAGGGCACGTCTTTCCTGTTTAAGGATCCAACCCTCAAAGTTGCACACATGCCTCACTCTTGCATCTCACTGGCCCCAGAACTTGGTCACTTGGCCACACTTAGCTCCAAGGGAGTAGGAAAACGTAGTGTTGAGTGACGAGGCAATCAATTAAAATTCAGGGATTCCATTAATAAAGAAAGAAGGGAGCAGGAATATTTGGGAACGCCCAGCAGTCTCTGCTAAGTCCTTAAAGGACAGTCTTCTGTTAACTGGAAAATTCACTTTATAAAGAAAGTAATTCCCTAATAAACATGGGTAAATGCAACATTTTGTTTTGTTCGCTCTTTCTTATTGTCATCCTTTTTACCCCCCAAAAGTATATGTTCTTGGCATTGGGTAATAAGGAAGTTAAGCTCACAAAAATCTCAATTACGAGAATGTTCAAACTTAAGTAGAAAGGGTTTCATTTGCTTGTTTCAACACTTGTTTAAAGCCTCTTTCTAAAATGTGTTTTCGTTAGAACTGTTGAGTTGGCTTCAATGTTCTTCGCTTATCCAGATCTTCTATTGCCTTAGAGTCATATTTATAAACATCAAATGAAGCTTAGTAGTATGTGAGGGAAGAATGGGTATCTGATAACCCTTCCTGTGCCTATTCTCAAGGCCCCCTTTGTTGATGGTGTGCCACCTGTGCCCCATGGGGAAAATGATTACACA